GTATTAGTTATACATTATCTTTGAAAAACTAAAATATTAAGTTTTTTAATAAACAAAAATAAAACGTCTTATCTCTGACTTTATCTGATTACAGTTCTCAATTAAAAAAAAAACTGCCAAACCCTAAAATACATCGCTCTTTGTTTTCGAAACGAAGACAAAATTCGACTCAATAGTCTTAATTACCAACAATATACACCACTTTAGCTGTCAACTAATATCCAGAGAATTCAAACGTTTCACGCACTGATGAAATTACGAAAATGCTTATATTTCAGTGATCTAATCGATACATGATATTATAATATCCATTTATATATCTATATACGCACGCAGTTAGATACTGTCTGTGTGTCTGTGTGTGTGTGTATTTTTTTTTTATTCTTTACCCGTAAAATTCGTGTTAGATATTTGACGACTGCCCCCCCCCAGTGGCACAGTGGTATGTCTGCGGACTTACAACGCTAGAATCCGGGTTTCGATACCCGTGGTGGGCAGAGCACAGATAGCCCATTGTGTAGCTTTGTGCTTAACTTCAAACAAACAAACAGATATTTGACGAATCCAAACAAAATATTCATTTAAAGTTGTTTCAGAAATTTAAATATATATCTACGGATTACATATACTGTTTTTATTTTCTTTTGTGTGTTTGCTTTTAAGCACAAAGACACACAATTGGTTATGACAACCACGGGGATTGAACACTGAATGAAGTACATTTGCCGGATTTAGGATGTTTCTCTTCTGCGTGATTGTTATTAAACACAAAGCTACACAATGGGTTATCTTTGCCCTGCTCACTGCAGGTATTGAAACCCGATTTTTATCGTTATAAACCTTCAGACTTCCCGCTAAGCCACCGGGGAGGAGTTTCTCCATGATAACTTAATTTTTAAAGCAATAAACAGAACGTATAAATAATGAAAGATGTTATAAAATCGTAAGTTAATAATATTGAAATCATTTTCCTTATTGTATAACTAGGTTCATAAATGTAAAACGTGTTACTTTATTTTACAGAAAATACTTAAAAAAAAAATTCTAAATAGTTTTTTTCCTGTATCTGATTCGGTATTAAGGACAGGTAATACAATGAGAATTTCCCTAAAATATTTTGTTTGTTTGAAGTTAAGCACAAAGCTACACATTGGTCTATCTGTGCTCTGCCAACTACGGGTATCGAAACCCGGATTCTAACGTTGTGAGCCCGCATACATGCCGCTGTGCCACTGGGGGCACCTAAAAGAATAAAGGATATAAGTGTTCCATTTCAAAGCGTTGAAAATCTTAAATATCTGAGCTAAACACTTAGCATGCTCATATTAGCAAAAACTGTAAATCAAGTTAAATGATTACCTTCACTAAGCCTAAAAAAATAATTAAATCATTACAACGCTAAAGTCCAGGATTCGATTCCTCTTACTGGACACCCTTAACCCCTATTGTGTAGCTTTGAGCTAATATAAACAACTACATTGTATAAATAGTATTTTACAATTAATATAATTAACTTTAATTGTTTTCCCCTTATGAAAAGTTTAATTATTTAACAACTTATAAAAATAACTTACTGTTTATAATATTTAAATAACTGTTTTATATGTTACATTCACAGATTTTGTGGATGTATTCATCATGAACTTGATCATTTTTAAACATCTCCATCATCGTTTAATATGTTTATCGCACAATTGACTATTTCTCATCGTACACAGATTTTAGCGCCATCTATAAAACTTATTTAAGATATAATTATGATATAGTGGAAAATAAAAACGTTTGTTTATTTGTTGAATACTCGAGGTATACTGGGTATACTAGAGAGAAAACAGCTAGCCAATATTATCCACCGTCAGCTCTTGAAGTTCTTTTGTACCAACTAAAAATAGGCTTGACCTTAACATTATAATGCCCCCACGACTGAAAGAGTGAGCATATTCGGAGATGGGTTTCGATCTCGCAGACCGCAGAGTGTAAGTCGAGTGCCCTAATCACCAGGTCATGCCAGGCCTCAAATCCTAGTTATAATAAAGACATTTTATCATTTTAAAAGAATTAACCTACGTGAGAAGTGTGAACTATTTTCCCGACATTGTTTTCTAAAGAAGAATAGAACTGAATAAGGACACCTATTTAATGAACTTCGTGAACTGAATTTTTTTTTTATATATTTCAAACGAGATTTTTTGTTGCTTCAAGCATCTATTATTTTAGTCAAATTCCTAAAAGGTTTTGAAATATCATGTTTGTCTGCAATTTCAAGTGTTTTAATTCATTTGTTATAACACTTAAACTCGCTGAAGTTAAAAGCTAACACTGATATTAAACTTCGTATATTTTTGTTTTGTTTTATTGTTTATTTAAAAAACAAACTCGGAAAGTTTTATGCTCATTTATTCCCCCCAAAAAATATATATATAAATATACATCACGCTTTCTCTGTTTCGCTTCTTTACGTATCACCTAAACTCTGTCCATGAGTTACAATAAACACAAGAAATTCTCCAAGAACTTAAAAGTCCGCTTACTTGAAATTCTAAAACTAAAATTCTAATGATCATAGCAAGGACGGTCTGTCTGGGTAGGGCCGGGCATGGCCAGGTG